TTGGAGCTGGGATAGATAGTTGTTGGCTTTTGTTGCTGCATCTTCTGGACTGCTGCCGGTTGCCACCATCGCAAAGTCATCCGCGAACTGGACGAGTTCACATCCTTCGTGTTCTATCCGGTGCAGACCACTGGTGTAGAGGTTGAAGAGGATGGGTGACAGTGGGCATTCTTGGGGGAGGCCTTCGCTAACCTCTCTGTGAGCGTCTCCTTCGTTTGTTTTGAGGACAAGATGTCGGTCGCTGAGGTAAGTGTGAAGCCAGGAGATGATCTTGTTTGGGATGCTTAAGGTTTTTAGGGTGTTGAGCAGTGTTTGCAGGTTCACGCAGTCGAAAGCCTGTGATAGATCGAGGAATACGACGACGGTGTCCTTCTTTGCCAGCTGGGCGTCCTTCACCTTGTTGACGACGTAGTTGACGCAGCTCTTTGCCGAACGGTGTTTCCGAAAGCCAAACGATCGAGGAGGGTGTATATTCTCTATTTCTGCTATATCAGCCAGTCTGCTGTTGATCACCGAGTTGATCAGCTTGAGATTGATGTTCATGAGAGCGATGGGTCGGTTCGATCCTGGGTTGAGCGGGTCACCTTTGTTTTTTGGAATTGGCTTTATTTGGGTGGACCTCCACCTTTCCGGAATTACTTCCGAAACGAAGACTTCGTTGAGCATCTCACATACCTTAACTTGCATGTCTAGCCTGAGGTTCTTCAGGATGCCGTAAGACATGCCGTCTTCTCCTGGGGCCGAGTGGGACTTTTTCTTTTTTAGGGCTTCCAAGATTTCCTCGACCTGGAGCGCCATTTCGTAGCCCTTTAAGTGGGAGGGGGTTACGGATGTGGGTTTCCCAACCGGTTTTAACTTCCCATCGTAGTAGTATGCGAGGAACTGTACTGCGTCATCCAGCGTGGTTTCCGGTTTTCTGCTTACCGGCTGGGTTAGCGCGGTATCCAAACCCTTGATGATGTTCCACAGCTGTCTGGGGGGAGTGTCCTCGTCAACTGTTTCAGCGAGTTCCTGGCAATAAGCCCGTTTTGCCTTCCGAATGAGCCTCTTGAGGATAGCCCGTGCTTTTTGGAGTTCTAGGTGGTTGGTTATGCTCTTGTTTCGGTTGTAGATTTGGAGCTTCTCTCGTTTGGTCTTATAGCATTCGTTGATGTCCTCGGACCACCAGCGCTTCAGGTAATTTCCTTTTTTATCTTTGATTATGAAGCTGGCTTGTTCTATGCTATCCTCGAATATTGTCTGCATTTCGTCGGGGTTATAGATGTATTGAGGCTTCAACTGGTTGATCAATTCCGCTGCTTTGTCCTTGTTGACCCGTTTCATTTTTCCTAGTGCCACCGGAATCTCACTTGCGATTTCGATGACTATCGATAGATGGTTGCTTCCGAATTCTTGTGGGACCACTTCCCAAGAAGCCTTGGTTGCTAGACCGGCGGTTGCCAGAGAGAGGTCGATCGCTGTGCTGCTTCTGTTGACCGTGGACATACATGTTGTCGTACCGTCGTTCAGGAGGATAAACTTGGAGGGTTCCAAGATGCTGTTGAGCAAGTTTCCTTTGTAGCAGTTGGTCGCACCGGGGTCCCAGCTTCGATGGTGACTGTTGAAGTCGCCTCCGATAAGAATTTCACCATCCATGTTGTCCAGCTTCTCGAAGAGTTCCAGTATCTTGCTTCTGATTTCACTGAGAGGACTATATCCAGAGGGAACGTATACGGAAACCAGTGTGAGCGGAAAAAACCCTTTGGTTATTTTGACCCCTACAACTTCGACCGGTAGAAGGTCCTCGAACTGTACCGTTTCGTAGTCCAGGGTCTCGTGTACTAGAATTCCGACTCCCCCGTATCCTTGATTTCGCCTGGCAGATTCCAGTCTAAAGTGAGCCAATCTAAAATTTTCTTCCTTCCTGAGCCAAATTTCCTGCAACAGTGCCACGCCCACCGAGTTTTCCGAAAGGAACTGGCTGAGCTCTTCGCGGGTATCGACAGGGCGAAGGCTTTGGACGTTGTGCTGCAAGATTATCAGCTTTTTACACTCCACTGTGAAAGCTTGTGTTGGTTCTCGTGGTTTCTCCTTGGAGCGGTTGCCCCTCGATGATTGATTGGATGTCTTGTCCGATGTCGACGAGTAGTTGGACCCTGTCCAACTCTGACTCCGCGTGTTGTACCCTTAAGCCGATCTTTTGTTGCAGGTCTCTCAGTGCTCCTACCCAGCGTTTGTGTCGCACCTCTGCGAAGAATTGTTGCCGCAGCCACGTGATGAAGCGTTCAAAGTCCGTTGCCTTGAAAGGGTTCTCCTGGCATATGGGACAGGTCGAAGCGAGTTTCCTTAGCCCCCCACGCTCACCTTCCTCGTTGGGTGTGGTGGGTTCCTGCCTTTCCCGACTCATGTCTCGGGAGCGAGAAGACTGTCTTCTCTGGGGCCTAGGTCCTGCGAACGGCCAGTTGGGTTGATCACTTCCTCCGAGCCTTGGGAAATCACCTTCATTTCCCTCGTCTCCCAGCTGGTCCAGGAGATTGAATCGATTTTGTAGCTTCGGGAAGTGGGTTTCTGCCTGGGTGAAAGTGATCTGCCTCTCCCTCATAGTTTCTCGAATCTTCACGTGTCTTTTCCTTTCTAGGCACTCGATATCGCTTGCTCCATGTCTGAGTTTGCAGTTTGGGCATTTAACGTCCATGTTGCAGTCTGCCGTTGAGTGCGTGCCTCCACAGTTGGCGCATCTTGCACGAGAGGTGCAGAACTTGGCTCCATGTCCGAATCTCCAGCAGTTCCTGCACTGGCGGATGGGAAAAATGTACAATTCGGGCCTGAAGTTACAACCGAAGATCTTTACCCATTTTGGCACTTGCGCACCCTCAACTGTTACCTTGATGTTCGTTGTGTCCAGAAGCTCTCCATTCCTGCTCCGTCGCTTGATGCGTTGAACTTTGGTCGCTCGGTGTTCTGCTTCTATGTTCTCCAACATCTCTTCCTCATTGAAGCTGGTGGGGACTCCCCTGATGAAGGTGATGGTATGATCCCTGCTCTTGGGTTCGCACAGTCTCAAGTTGGCATCTGCCAGCTTTAACTGTCTCAGCTGGGTTTCGAACTCGGTGTCAACCTTGAACCTGAATTTCCCTAGCTTGGAGATTTCAGAGAAATCGTGGAACCCTTTGTCCCTTAGGTATTTTCCAAGGAGGGTAGGATGACTTGGGAAGTCTTTTCCAATGTCGATCATCTCGAGGACTACGGTTTTGCGTTGGGCTTCCTCGTTGTGTGCCCCGTCTTGCGTTTGCTGTTCCAGTGTGTTACTTGCAGCTTCCTGGTCCTTTTTTTTCGTCTGTCTGGTGACCCGTCCAGCCCCGGTCTTCCTGCTGTCAGCAATACGCTTGATCCTTGCTGCGGCCTCCGCACTTGATCCTGCCATGGTAGGTCCGGAGAGAGCTTGCTATGTCGATAGGTTTCACTCCCAGATTCAACGGCTTACGTATTTCCGTCTTCCCGAATTTCCCCGGAAAATTCCCGTATCGGGCAGTCGATGGCCTACACCAACTATAATTTCTCTTCTGTTACTACTTACAACCCTGCACCCTCGAGCCGACGAGTTGAGGTTAGGTTTGAAATTCCCTTGGTTCTCCTCAGACGATTCTTGCCTTCCTTCCGGTATCCCCCTTCTTCACTGAATTCAAGAAAATTGACGGAAAAATTGGTCCGATTCGGGTACGATTACTAGCTGGAAATCGCACTTGTAGCCTGATACGCCGCAGGCTTATAAATCGAACACCACGGGACACTTCCAGCAAACACAAATGGCTGCCATAGATTTTTCCCGAAATCGATTTCACTCAATGTCACAACAGCAAATTTTATGCGCAAAACACCCGAAACAAATCGATGCTTCAATTAAGCCACTTTTCAAACACTTTTGCAGTTGCACAATCACTCTCTTATTTCAAGCTGTGAAAATCGTAGAACCGGTAGAACCCAAACCGTCGCGAAACCAATCAAAAACATTGATGTGTGTGTGAGTGGGTGTGAAGATAACCCCAACTTTGATTTGCCAATTATCTAAGTTTTGAGCCAAACGAACTGTCAAAGCCAGAGCCATACACGCTATTTCAAAACTACCTAAATTTTAGTAGAATCCACCCAGATCGGTCAAAACTGAACCTACCCAAAAATGGGTAAACTATGTTCGGATTGACAAATGGACAACATCGACATGAATCCGATCGACTTTGTTCATTTGTCAACTTGTCACTCCGAACATAGTAAACCCATTTTTGGGTAGGTTCAGTTTTGACCGATCTGGGTGGATTGTACCCAAATTTGGGTAGTTTTGAAATAGCACCTATCTTGATTACATTGGCAGTGTGGCTGACCCTCTCATAAGGCACGCTTATTCTGGTCAACTCAAAATTGAGTCGAATGTACTCATCTCAGCGGCAAGTATGGCTACTCAAAATTGAGTAGTATTATGTTGACTCACTTTTGAGTAAACTACGTTCTCACGTAGACTGAGTCAAATCCACTCACCGGTATTTTCAGTTGCAGGGAGAATTTTTGTTTTGATTTTTATTAAAGGAAATGGAAATTGCCTGCTCCGGATTCATTCTCCCGGAGCAAAAACCGGTCCAACACCGTTTCCCTAAGCAATTCGTACTTACTTGAAGGCATTTCAGCAAGTTTTGAGTAACATTTTCTATGAGGTTTCCTCCGACATGACTGGCATTTTTTCCAAGTCCAGGATTTTGCTGACTGAGTGGTCTTTACTCAGTTTGACATTTCTCGTTTACTCAATTTTTGACAACTCGAACATCGGACGAAAGTGAGTACGATCGACACCTGGTGAGTAAGCAGAAGTTAGCGTGTATACATCAATCTAAAATACAAAAAACCTGGCATCCCTGCTGTTGTTGTCATTCCATTTCATTCCTTTTTTCTAGTAACATCATTTCTTTTCCGTTCGTTCCGTTCTTTTTCGGTGGTCTCCTACCGTCAGATTTTCAGTTTCTGTCAGTCACTATCAAGTTTTCGTCGTGGATACATCGTCGCTGTAGAGTGTTTTCAACGTGTGACGCGGAATGCAAAAAGAAAAAATGTAGCTTTTATTCCGTTTTTACTAAATTTGTTATCATAAGTCGGACATTTACAACTCGGGAGGACAGGGAGCTGTGTTTTCCCTAATAGAAAAACGACAAAATTTACTGCGTCGTAGAAGTGAATGAAGTGTATTTTGCAAAAGTTCTGCGTTCTGCTAGAAGAGAACGAAAATTTTATCCGGATGTGCTAGTGCAAATAAATGCAGTGAGTGATTTATATTGAAAAAAATTGCTCTGGAAAAGCAAATTACAGTGGTTCCTGTTGTATCAGCTACATTATCTCCGACAAATTCCGTTCTGTTCTTGAGACTGTTGTTTGACGGCAGGAAAAGAGAAAAAGAAATCAAAATGGCGCGTCATCGTACGTGTTTTATCGTTTTGACAATGATGCTGGTGTGTCTTCAAGGGTCAGATGCTCATGCCGTTAGACATGGATTTCCACCTGATATTCTGCATGTGGATTATGACGAAAATGCTGCGGAACGTTATTTTGTAATAAACAGATTTAGCAAAGAAACCGGAGCCGAGGAACACACTTTGAACCGATTAAAACGCAGCCCTGCTAGTACCGGTTCAATCAGTGGTTCAACAACTTCTTCGCTGCCAACGACCGGAGCCTCGGGAAAGGATAGCAAAAATTCTGTCCAGCCAGTGATCGAGGCAAAGGTAAGTCAATGTGTTGATGTTTTTTTTTGTTTGTCTTATTTTATTTTATTATCTTTCCTATGAAGCTAATGGTTGGTAATCTGAAGGTTTTAAATATAACGAACTACAACACGTTTTTATTCAACAGTGAAAATCAATGCTAAGTTAAAAAAAAAAACTATTTGCGAATGTTCTATTTTTTTTTTGATAAATTCAGATTAATTCCTTATATTGCGCATTTCACACTAAACTGGACAAATAAGTACATTGTCGTTTATTATAAAGTGTGATAAAAGGGCGAGTTTCAATCTAATCGTATTGACGACTTAGGTGCACTTATTCATCATGATGCAATCAATAAGTGCTCCGAAGACACCAAAACGATTTGACGGAATCGTGCACTTTTATTACACTTTTTGCATTTTTGGAGAAGTCCAGTTTCAGATGCAATCAGCAATAACCAAAACATTTTATTATTTAGATAGTTTTTGCTGTGTTGCTGTTTTAGTCTTAAGCCTTGCTAAATGCATAAATACAATTACGACACACACGTAAACACCCATATCGATATGTTCTAGAAACATCTTGGGCATTCGACCTAGTAGTCTCCTGAACTGTGTTTACAGGATATTTACCAACATAATTTTTAATAATTATTCTTGCAATCCGCATTAGGTCATTAGGAAAAGTAGTACCGTAAACCGGGGGCAAATTGATCACTGTTTTGCGTACATATTGAAATAAATTTCTACAAAAAAGGACACTCTTCAATGCACGACATATACATTTTTGCATCATTGAAAAATCTCAGGAATCATGACATTTTAATCTTTGAAAACAACGCAAATGAAAAAAAAGAGACATTTTTTTAATCTTCATTATGGCAAAAAAAAGCCTACTGCGTAAGGATCTGTTATTATAGTAAATATGCTTTATGGATTTGGGTTCCCTGAATACGAAATAGACGTTAAATTCAGTGGCGGACGTTGTAACCTCACTTTTCACCTGTGCAACAACTTTCAAAACCAGATTTAATGCCATATTCATACTCGAATCGGTTGAAATATACACTTAATCTTCTAGTTTACTCAATATCTATCCATTGCAAGTAATATTTTGATAATTGTTTATGTTTTGAGAGTTGGTGCACTACAGGTAGATTGGGGTTAAGGAAACGCCATTGGTTAAATCCGAAGTGTATGTTAAGTAAAAATGCCAAAATAGATTTCTTAAAATACACAGTTGCGCCCAAATGTAGGTTATTTCTTTAACCCTTAAACACATGATTTTTTTTTTATTTTGCGGTGAATTTTTTTTTTATTAAGGGTAGAGCTCTACTTCGTCGTAATCGCCCATTTCCATTCTATCGATCAGAAAAGATCAATAATATCAATGATTTCACCGTGCACAAATCAATAATAAGTTTGTTCCGATGCATTAGCTTAGCTTAGTTCATTAGCTACAACATAAATCCTATTAGAGCGCATTGTATGAATATTTACGCTCATTGTTCTCAAAACAAAAGAAGCGCTCCTACCGAATTCCTTTTTTCTACGTTTATCCGTAGGACGAAGAAAATCTAATGGTGTTTCAATGCATTTGGACGGAATTGAAACTCGTAGGACGAATTTAGAATCAAGAATCAGTGTTAGATTTTAAACAATATCTCAACAATTTGTCACTCTTTATCAAATCCAACAGTACGTATGGAAAGGTGAATAAATTTAGAAGTCGTCTTTGAAAGAAATATTACATTTTTTGTTCAAACCCGTTCAAAAAAGAAAGGTAAAGCGCGGGTTGTGTTTAGTAGGACGGAAATTAGATAAAAAGCCCTATGTTGCGCTTACTATTAAAATGTTGTTTCACCATATTTAAAGACAAACATAGGTATGTTGCCAAATGGCAGCAACATGCTTTTAAGGATTAAAAATCGTTACAAAGTTAACGATTTCTAATCCTTATCTTCTAATTTCTTGACATAGGGGAAATGGATGCAATGTCGGCCTAAATGCCCCTAATTTCGGCTCATACATAAATTTAGCAATCGACTAAATTTTCAATAGCGCCCAAAAATATCCATAAGTACCGTCCCAATGACGCGTGCATCTAGATAAAATTGATAAATATCAGATTTTTAGCGATGGGCCCAATCTTAGATCCATAGGCCAATATTAGAGCCATTTCCCCTACGAATTTTTTACGTAAAATTTCAAATACTGCGAATTTAGTGACATTAGAGGGTTGTATAGATTTTTCTCCTTTAGTTTACTTAAATCTTTGGTTTTTTTAGATAGGTAGGTAGTTTCATTTTTATAACTGTGATCTTGACATTATTACCTAGGGGATGAGTACTTAAGGGGGTTAGATTTTGATAATCCTTTAGTGGGAATGACCCTGATGAAGATTGCCCATTGTAGACGAAATACGTATATGTCATGGTTACCAAAATTAATGAAGTTGAATTAAATGGCTTTTTTTTGCTGTTTTATTTAAGCATTCCTCTAACAACCCAATTTCGTTACTTCAATAGAAGACTATGTGCATTTTGCAATCGATTTGAATATAAATATTGGTAGATATTACGTTTTTAAAGTTGGTGCAAAGGTAAAAAGTGTAATAATGTAGTAATAGGGGAAATGGCTCTAATGTTGGCCTATGTATCTAAGATCGGGCCCATCGCTAAAAATCTGCTATTTATCAATTTTATCTAGATGCACGCGTCATTGGGACGGTATTTATGGATATTTTTGGGCGCTATTGAAAATTTAGTCGATTGCTGAATTTATGTATGGGCCCAAATTAGGGGCGTTTATGCCGACATTACATCCATTTTCCCTACTCACCCACTTTTCTCAGTGATATCTGAAACGTTTTTAGTGAAACTGGTTCCATTAATTTTTTTCTATTTGTTTCTTTTGTTACTGAATTTAACCACGATCGGACTTTGGTTCCGGAGATATGACTAAAAAAGTGATATTTTGTTACAAAACAGTGCTACTCACTTATTTTTCTCGGAAATGGCTTAACCGATTTTGCTGTGCACCAGTGCTACTTGATCACTTTCTCGGTTATGGTTAAACTGATTTATGTGCATTCGGTTCAAATTATTATTGTATCTTACTCCTCCCTAAAGATCCTGCGTTTTATTCCGAAAATATGGCCAAAAAGATTTTTTTTTTGTAAAACGATATTCATCACTCACTTTTTTCGACAATATCCGAACCTATTTGAGTGCAACAGGCTCTAAAAGCCGGGTTCCCTCCCCTTGGCTAGTTTTTTAACCTGGACGTTGGACGCCTAATCTTATGCTTCATAGTGGAGCGTTGGAGACGGTTGGTTTAGGTCCGGCATCGTTGGCTCATGCCGTAACAGAATAGCGTCATGAGCATGCGATGAGGATTACTGAGCTTCCCCTCTCCGATGAACCATTGCATAAGAGAACCAAAGTTCTAGCCTGAAGTGATAGTATCACACTTGTTACTCCTTTATTTGAAAGCCGTGTTGTAGTACGCTTACGTATAGGCACTGACGTTGGGTGCGATACTGGCGGGTTTTGCCGCAAATCACTCTTATTTTATTTATTTTTACGCAGATAGATTTATTTGGGTTTGCAAGGGAATTATACTATTGAAATATTTCAGAAAGTGCCCAACAGTGCTCCTTCTACTTGCGTGACAAGCTTTCGTTGTTGTTTTCATTGAGGTATTACTCAGGGAACAATGTTAAACACCATTTTTGTACATGGTTTTGCAACTTATCTTATATGTGCTTCATTTTGATTTGGGATAAGTGTTTGAACTATGGCTCGGGATTTCTACTGTTGCGTGCTTCTATTGTGACATAACCATACGTTTTTTTGTGGTGCGACATAGTGGAAACGTGTTGAAGCATATACCCTATGTAATTTAAAAATCAGCTAGGAAACTAACTTCAAAGTGAAGCATTTTAGTCACTTGAAGGTGTCACCTGAGACGAACTAATATATATTAAATATAGGTCAAAGTCAAACACAACTTGAAACACGTTAAATTTTAGATTACATTCACAAGTGTAGGTACTTAATAAAGCATGGTATTTATTAAATTAGACTAGAGATATCATAATCATCAAACGAACTTAAATAAGAAAATTAAGACAGCCTAGTAGCATTAAGTGGATTAACAGAAGAGTTAGGATGCGGAGGGTCCGCTTAGGGAGGCAACTAGCCTTTAAAGCAACTGGAAACTAGCCTTTTCATGCATTGTCTATTTATTTTGATTGTTGCTTTAAAATATCAATTTGGTATATATGTGAAAGGATGAATCAGTGGGAGATGGATTTTCGGTTTCTTTACATTTAGCATCACTATGTGTCATTTCCTCAAAACCCCCCAATAACCGGCCTCTTCAATCCCTTCCTTTTCCCATGGCGTTCAAGTGGTCCGCATAGACTATTCAGCCATTACCTGTCCTTTATCCTCGGCTTTGGATTGACTTGCGCTCCCATTGCCCCACCAAACGCTGCAAAATGAAAATGAAAATGAAACAGGCTCTAAAAGCCGGGTTTTACATGTTTCAAGTTTTTTTTTTTTTCTTTATTTTTGTGATTTTTAGCCGTAGGCTAGTTCATCACATTTGATAGTAGAAGGTCAGGCTTAGGGCCTGTCTCTAAGGAAACGTTTCAGTCTAACATTAACGTAACGTAAAACTGGCTCTGGAACAACATAAAAAAAAAAAAACTTAATGTAAAATGGGAGTTACATCGGGACTGTGGTAGAGTTCCACCGTAAGAGACAAGACTAAGGTAGAGCTCCACCGTAAGAGACAGTGCCCCAGTCCGGCAGAGATACCCCGACGGCAGGAAAATAGGAAGGTGGAAGAACACGGACAGCGCAGCCAACGACGAGAGTGCTAGATTTGGTTGTACAGGTGGGCGTCCTTCAAGAAAGCAATCAGCGCGAGCAATCAAGTGAGTTGATTCAGAATGTGCCTTCTTCTTCTGCTTCTTAGCATTTCAAGCTTATTGCATATCGCATATTAGCT